ATAACGTTCTTTCAAAAACCATTATTTGCAAAGAAGGAAACACGAAGAGAAAGTATTCTTTATATTTTGCGGTGAAAGCACAAAAGTTGCTCATTTTTATTTTCTCAAAAGAAAATGTAAATATTGTATTTTTTCTACTTAAGAAGAAAACTTGAGTTTTTGAAAAGTAAACATGAATAACGCAACCAGTACACTTTCAGTTCGAAATATGCATATATTTGAAATATATGCTCTTTGAACACATGAAAATTTTTACTTTTTTGGACGATTTTATGCTCTGTATAAAACTTTTGTTAAAAATTTTTTTATGACAATATCTGAAGCTAAAAAATAGGTATCTAAATTCGTTTTGTCTCTTTCTCAATGTCAATTGAAATTTAATTTATTCATAAATTGTATCATCTAGCAAGCATGCTGGCCGGGATGGTAATGGGCAGGTCAATATAGTTTTAGGAGAAGCTTTGGTTTGGTGGCCGCGATGCATTTTGCGAAACCATATTTTCCACCCCATTTAAAGAATAAATTACATTTATCAACAGTACATTATATGCCAGTGTAAATGAATTATGAACATAAAAAAAAAGATGCTTTTTTAATAAAAAATGTTTCTGCACTTCATGATACGATGAAATATAAGCAGTTATGTTTTTGTAAGATTTTTTCTTCTTAAAAAGGATCTCTATATTATTACGTATTTTTATAGTGCAAAGTTTGCATCTTAAATTTTGCAAAAATTTCAATTTTTGAATTTAAATTTATTTTTAGGTAAGATTAAATATTTTTCATGTTAATCAGATATTGCAGGACATAAATGAAAAGTTTCGGAAATTTACCAAGCAATTTTCCGGATAAAAACCCCCAGCAAATTTTGGGCTTAAAGCACACTATGTTCAGCGATATGTATAAAATTTAAATTTTATTTTCCCAGATCAATGAATAATAAGAAAATGAGGTATTTGAACAATGAGTTTAACAAACGGCTTTCTAGCGCTGTCAGAAGTTTTTTTAGCGTTAATAGCCCTAAATTAAAAAAAAACTCCACTTTTATATTCAATCAAAGAGCAATACATAAAAATGCATAACTATTTAATTGGCGTTAACCATATAATTTATGAAACTTTACGGTATATTTATGAATAGTATTATCAATATATTTATTTTTTAGTTTGAAACTTAACTTAAAATATTAAACAGAATTAATGCATTAATTAAAAAAAATATGTTGAAGTTTCATTCTTTCGCATAATTCGCCTGACAAGAAAAGTTGTATTGGTTGGAATCACTAAAAACTTAAAAATCTAATATATAATTGATATTCGAATAAGTTGAGAATTTATTATATACTGTGAGATATTTATAAGATCAATATTATTTTTTTCCTTTTCTTTTTTAAAAGAAGTACTTATGCAAATGATTATTAACGCTCATTTTTTTTTTTTTTGGAAAAAAAAAAATTCGAAAAACACTTAGAAAAAATCTTATTAATTCTGAACTTAATTTTAATAAATTTAAAATATTAGACAGAATTAATGTATTAATTAAAAAGAACATCATTCTTTCGTATAATTAACCTGATAACAAAAGTTTTATTGGTTAGAAACACTCAAAACTTAAAAAGCTAATACATTTGAAGATTTATTATATACTGAGAGATATTTATAAGATCCACATTATTTATATTTTCCTTTTCCTTTCTGAAAGAAGTATTTATGCAAATGATTATTAACGTTTATTTATTTATTTTTTATTTTGCGAAAAACACTAGGAAAAAATCTCTTTAATTCTAAACTTAATTTTGAAAGCAAAATAAGAAAAGGGATTTAATATAATGCTTGTTTTTCCTGGTATCATAAGACTGAAAGAAAAACCCAGATTTTCAAAGCACTATCTTGTCAATAGAGTAGCTCTTCCATTTTAACAAAATACAGAATCACGCAGATAGCTTTTTTCATTGGCTAAGGAAATCTTTTCTAGGGACAAAGAAAAAATAGTTCTAGTTTATTGGGTGTTATATACTATGACGAAGATAAAATAACATTCATTGGTTGTCTGTATTTTTTTTAAACACACTAGCATACGAGTATAATGAGGGACTCTGCACGTATTGGTCGGGTTCTAAGTCGTAAATAAGGTATCTAATAAAAACCTTTTTTACGTGTTACACGTTGATTTTTTTTTTATTTCTATTTTATTGGCATGGAACACGATTTTATTTCTCTCTTTTTAACTAGGCTGTAATGTTTTATTTCATTTTAGAATCATTCCTGGTTATTTTTTTTCTAAACACAGTAAGAGTTCAGAAATTAGATCTTACAAATAACCATCGAGGATGACGGTATAAAACATCAACACTACATGGATAATTTATAAAAATATTAAAGCCAGTCTGATTGTTGAATGAACATTCAAAGTGTTTCGAATTGAGACCTTTACACACCTATCAGTTTGTATGGCAAGTAAACTGGTTTTTGATGCTTTTAATCGTCTTTGTCACTAATGGTTAGACTGATTTAAATAAGTTTGCCTCCTGCAAAATTATTATTTTGGGACGCCTGATAGAAAGCTTTTACGTCTTACTCCTTGATTTCGTTTTTATTTCTATTTTGGTACACAAGACGAAATTTCATTTTCCCTTTTTTTTGCTTAAGCTGCAATGCTTTGTGCCATTCTAGAATAATTTTTGGATCTTTATTTTGTAACACCAGCAAAATTTTAAAAATAAATGCAAGCCAAAAACATCTCAAATTGTAAAATGCAAAAATTGCTACGTCCTTTTAAATATGTAATGTTAAATGAAAAAACATACAAAGTTTGAGCGAAATTGGTCAAATAGTTTTTGAAAAATATAGTTTTAAAATATAACTTTTCTTAAAAATTGTATTACTTTCACTGAGGAAAAGAAAGTATGGATAAAACTACCAGCGTATGGTCAAATTTACCGTGTTTTTGGCTCTATGGGAGCACCAAAAATCAAGGTAATTTTTACCAAAGCGCTTTTATTATGACCTTTTGGTAAAATTAACAATAAATATGTTTTTTTACTACCATGCTGATTGATAGTAAATGAGGTATAATTAGATAATTTTAAGCAAAAATCGGTAATTTCAACAGTTCTAGACTATAATTTGAGATTATGCAAAAATGTTCATTTTGATAACTTCTATTTTTTTTAGTAAATCCTCGTTAGCTTTGTTTCTCATCAATTATTTATTTGTCTCGCAGTAGATTGATCATGAAGACACGGTTCCCAGTAGAACAAACGGTTGGGTGACCACTTTGATCAGCCTGAGAAAGGACCAAGGGTTCTCGGTATCTGTCCTCGTAAAACTGTTCTACCGTAAAGTGCTCAGCTTCGTGCATAGGTTGTCAGGCTACCAAAGCAGGAACAGCTTGTTGCAATATTTTTAATGCTTCTCAACTGCATCAGTCTTTGCATGTTCAACTGAAACGTCTCAATGCGAACGTTTATGAATGTAAATGTTAAATGCAATTTCGCTTTGTGAAATTAGTTGTAATCAAATAGAAAACGAATTTTACGCATTCTACCAGATAGATTTGCTCACATTATTTAAAAGCACTGAAAAGCAAAAAAAAAAAAAANAAAAAAAAAAAAAAAAAAAAAAAAAAAAAAAAAAAAAAAAAAAAAATTGAAAAAAATAAAGAAAGAGGAAAGATACAGTGAAAACATATTATGTCAAAGAATAGCACTTTTAAATAAAATTTGCTTTTAAATAAGTTTTGTCAGCTTTCCATACCTTTCCATAATTGCTTTTTTTAAATTTCAATGTTTTTATGAAATATAGTAATATATACATTAAGAAATACATTAAGAAATTATAATACATTAATAATACATACATTATAATACATTAAGAAATCATAAACGGAAGATTTCAAAATTCGTCTTCGCTGAAGATTTCAAAATTCGTGTATCTTAATATGCCTTGAACCAGTATTACTTTCATATAAAGTACAACAGCAATATTTTAAAGATAGTTGTATATATTTGAATAGAGATAGCATGGATTTTTATGCTGAATCTTTTTTCAGGATATCAGCTTGAATCTAGGATAAACAATAATTCTTTTTCCCTATACATGACTTTCAACCTTCACTTCTCTATTTTTTTGCAAGTTTTTTTCATGTGCTTTCTTTCTGTATAAGAAACTACATTTTTTCACCTGAAAACCTATTTTTTTCCGCTTTTGAATTTCTCCCAGGGTTTAAAATCTTTTATTGTTGTTCACTTTCGAACATATTTTTTGTAGGTTATTTGAATATATATCTCAAGGTGATTGCTATACCTTTAGATTTCGAACGAAAGTGGTTTATAATAAAATGAAATCTATTGTTCGGAGCTTTTACTAGAGTCTGAGACATTTTTGTTTCAATGTTTGGTGATAAAATTACGTATTTCTTAAAAAATATTCTGTTATTTACAACAGTTAAATAATAATTATAAATGCTATTTTTTAGTAGAAATGCAGTACTTTGTTGTAAATGATGCAACTTTCTATATTTATGCTTTTATTACAATAAGTTTAAATTAAACTTTATTACACTTTTACATAGTTTTTTTATACAATATAAAGTAATGCCTAGTAACTATGGCACATTCCAAGAAGTTTGCTATTTCGATGTGTTTTCCAGTTATCTTCAGCATGCTGATCTTTGATAAGATTTTAAACCTTGTCACAGCTAAAAAAACTAGAACGGACATAGCTTAAAATGCGTGTTTACGAAAATGGGCACAGCTGGAAATGGGTGTTTATGAAAATAGACACTGCTCAAAATGATTATATTGCATAGAGTTTGGTAAGATGTAATTTTTGAAAGAATTCGTAAGGGGTAAAATTTACTATTAATATTTTGATAAGGTTGGTTGCATGCTTTCCTGATCCAAATGATAAATGTAGATAAGAACAGAAAATTAAATATGCATGAGATAAATTATATGAACTTATACAAAGAAAATAAATGTTCTTTATTTTAATTTTCAGAAACATGTGTGGATGTGTGGACCATGCAGTGAAAGGTATCCTCATTTGGCGCCCGGTGCCAATCGTAGAGAACCTGATAATAATGAAGTGCACACCGATGTGAGAAGGAGAACATCGGAATGTCCTGTACCATCTGGTGATGATCGGCGCCAAAGGATTGGTTCGCAGGAGGGAGGTCCACCTCAAAGAAGTAGATCAGATAGCCTTCCTGCTCAACCTCCAAAACAAATGCAACAAAGACCTCAACAACCTCAAAATGTCCAAATGAGGCAGGAACAAGGTCAGCCTCGACCAATGCATCCAAATAATGGCTCGCCGATAAGAGTCATGAGGCCAGATCACCCCCAACAAGGCCAGCAAATGAGACCTCAACATCCTCAGCAGCAAACGAGACCCAGATACCCCAATGATCAACAAAGGTCTCAACAGCCTCGTGATCCAAGACTCCAGCATCCGATGGATCAAAGACCACATCATCCAATAGATCAAAAACTTCAACATCCAATGGATCAAAGAGCGCCACATCAATTGGACCAAAGACCACCGCATCCAATGGACCAAAGACCTCCTCACCCGATAGACCAAAGACCTCCACACCCAACTGATCAAAGACCACCACATCCAATGGATCAAAGATTTCAACAACCAAATGACGCTCAACGCCTTTTGTGCCAGGAGGATCAACGACAAATGCAACCAAATGGGGTTCAACAGCAGCAAAAAGTATCTTCTCGTCCAATTGACCCAAGGCAGCAAATTGGAGAGAAACAGCGTTATCAACAAGACCAATTAAGATCTGAGCATGCGGGTGATAATCAAAACGTACATTATGATTCAGATCTGAATAGGCAACATTTAGACCAAGTTGATACAAGCAAAATGCAAACTAATAACCAACGGAATCAACAGCCTTTGGATAATCCACAGCGAAATCAGAATAATAAAGATAATCATAAAAAGAGATCAGAGAATTCATCGAATCAATACCAATCCTCCCCACAAAAGCAGCAGGGGCCTGATGTCTATGGAAGCTCACAGCCAAGAGCATCACACCCAATTGAGAATGGTCCAGACTTCCCTCAATCCAAAACATACTACCCTAGTGAACAATTAAAACCTAAGCCACAGCATCCGATTGTTCATTCCCAAAATAGATCCCACCAAGGACCTGATAATTTTTCATCCTATCCTAATCAAGAAATTTTACCGGAATACCCACCACAGAGACATTTAAATGCCTTAGATTCTAATCAAATTATACCTCCACAAAGAAATCAACGCCTGCGTGAACCTCCCGAACAGCAAGTCATCCCTAGACCTCAACATCCCCAAGAACCACCACAAGAGTTTCCTCAACGTCACGCTACTGATCAAAAGTATCCCCCTGAGAAGCAGAGAGACCAGCAATTTAATAAGAGTCAACATCCTCAATTCAAAGTCATGAACGATCAAGGTGAAAAAATTCAGAATCGAGGTGAAGTGAATCAAAATTTTCAAGACAATACAAGTGTTCCTTTTGGAAAACAACCAACTGATAATCAGCAAAGGAATTATGATGATAGAAATCGGTCAGCAATAACAAGTCAACCGCAACCTATGAACCCTTCCGAAATGCAACAAATAAATAAGAGTCCACAACCTCAACAGAGGCAGCAAATTAATCAACAAAGAAATCAAAGTGAAAATATACAAAGACAAATAGTTAACCAAGGTCCAAATAGGCACGGTGTTTTAGAATCAGAACAAAATGATGTTTATGTCAGTTTATCTGAGCAACAATCTGCTAAAAATAACACTCCATTTTTTGAACAGGGTATTAGTGACAGTGAGACTCAAGCTCCTCCTGCAACGTTGCCTAGAACAAAGCGTCCAGAAGTACCTACGCCTGCCGGACGAACAACTAAAAGAGAAAAGATACCACCAACTCAGACGTTACCAAGACCTGGTACTAATCCATTTCGAAATGACAATAATCCTTTTCGAAGAGAGAGTCTACCTCCCGAAATTTTAGATGCCGGGGAATACGTCACCGTCGCTCCTAGAAGAGGTAGCCTGGATGAACGCTTTCGGCATATGTCTAATCAAGATCAAGCAAGATTAGTTGATGTAATGAAAGTGAGTATATTTCACTAATTTTTATGATAACATACAGGGTGCTCATTAGAACCATTAATTAACACATATGCTTAGAATCTTTTAAGAACTGAATTTAAAACAAAATATATAAAATCTGTATACGTAAAGAACTCCCATCGGAGCAGTGGCGGGGATTATGGCTATGAGGTTACCTTAATTAAAGTTGGCGTGTTGGGTTATTGCCTAACGCATGGATGCACCAAAACAAACAACCAGTATACTGCTGAGTGAACCTTTAAAGGTATGCTGAATCACCCTTAGCTAGATTTACATGTCCTATTAGTTTGTATCTGCAAGTATACGGGTTTTGATGCTTTTAATCGTCTTTTGCACTAATGATTTGACTGATTTAGATAAGTTTTTTTCCTCTCATAATAATTATTCGGAGATGCCTCATGTGTACATTTTAAAAATTCACTTTTAACTAGCATATAATAGTTAAGACGGTAAGTATGAAACCCATAGCCTACATGCGATTATTTAATAAAAAATTAAGTGTCTATTTATTGTTTTCGAATAATGTCTTTTAGGAATTCTTTATGATTTTCAAAGACATAAAAGAAAAGTTGCAAAAATACGTATTTTTACACAGGTTTTTCTTATACGTGTTTCAATCTTAATACAATATATAACCTACATGAGACAAAAATTTTGTGAAAGTAATATTTTGCAATCAAAAATACCTTGCCAAAACTGCCCTTTATGTAGATTTTTTTTGTACAGATTTGTACTAGATTAATTTAAAACTTATGTTTTAGTTAAATATGAAAGAAATATGCAATTTAATTGTGTTCCACTAATAAAAAATTTATCTTGCATTAAAAAAGATTTCTGTTCTGAAGAAAATATGTAATTTAACTGTGTTTCACTAAAAACATTTGGTTTAAGTTCAAGATTTTGCATTTTTTTAATAAACATTATCCTTTATGATTTAGAATGACTGGTTGACTATATCTATGAATGTATGTATCTGAGCACTACATATTTTCTTTCATCATTTACGCCAATAAAAATTGCAATGATTCCTTATCCCACTCGATAAGCAAGATTTCATGAATATCATTTAGGAAATGCAAAGTTTCAACAGGGATCACCGTGTTCAATTATGTTTTGTAGTTATTGGCATCAGAGATCTATAAATACATATTCTGAATGTATGGAAACCGTAATTTCAATTATTATAAATTTAAAATACTTATAGTCTTAGTAATTTGAAATTGTAATATCAGACAGGACTCAATCATGTATTGAATTCATGACATGTCTACCAAGAAGTGGTGTACAGGACTGACTGTAAATTGTCTTATGGAATAGATTATTCAGAGTTCTGACTCTAAACTCATCAAAAATTCATGAGGAAAGTGGAGAGAGTTGAAAGATGGCCTGAAAATAACAGTTGGAATTTGTAACAGCAAGAGCCATGTTTGTAAAACCGAAACTTGAATACTTGTTGCTCGTTCGTAGAAATTAAATACTGGTAGATCTTTATAATAGCTGTTAGAGTATGTGCTCAAATGGTGATTAAGGTAAATTCATACTATTAAATAAGCAGCACGTAATTTTAAATACGCTGTTACAAATTTTTAGGAAAAAATGGGCAAACAGCAATTTATTTAATTGTTATTTTACCATATTCAAACAAAATAGTCAAATGACCATAAATAAGATGGTATTCAAACTGTTGACTGTGAGAAAAACCGTTTGTTAACTGCTTTCACTCAATACTGTTACACAACCAGAATTTTATTGCACCAACTGGAAATGAAGCTACTTATTTCCTTGCAGCTGGGTACACATTATAACAGAGCGTGGTTATATTTTACGGTTTCGAAACGATGGCAGTTATAAATTGTTAAAACACTGTACAGTTTTGTATTTATGGGTTTTAACCATACTAGTAGTAAGCAGTTTCAAGACTATAAAGGTAAAGGTAAAAAATGCTTTTTATTGTAAATTTTACGATTAATTGGAAAGACAGACTGTTTTCAGTTACTTTATCGTAATTTTAGACTGAAAATTCTAACAGTTTATTGGTGCATAAAAACAGAATATTAATCCAATTTTCAACAAAATCAATATCATTATCATTTATATCATTTATCTCATTATCATTTATATCATTATCTCATTACCATTTATATCATTATCTCATTATCATTTATATCGTTATCATTTAATATCATCATCAATATCAATATGGCCAAGAAGTCGAATTCTTGGCCATAGATGGCGCCTCTGGAAAACAAGAACAATCGCACCCCCTCTGCCTAAACATGCATACGTCAACAACAGCAACACATCAATATCATTTATATAGAGGATGGAATGGTTAAAATATTCGAAAAGCAAATTATGTATCAGCATAATCAGGCAGTAGGAGAAAAAATTTAAAATGTATATTAAGTTAGGTGATTGCATATCATCATGTGCATAACATTGAAAATATTCATGTAAAAATATTGATAATAGTTCAAAGGTTTATATAGCTATAAATAGTTATAACTTAATTAGAAGAATATTGTTTACCGTTGTCTTTATTGAAGAAAACATCCCTATCAAGGTAGGGTGCCTGAAAGAAATTGTTAAAAAAATGCCTCTTTCCTTTTCACTGAAATGTATCCATCTCTAAACACAATACTCATTACCAAACAAAAAAAAACTATAAATGTGTTTACAGAATTGTTAATTTTAACGCTCTGTTAAACTCAGTAAATAAAATTTTGTTAAAAAAAACTTAAGTGTATAAGTTAACAAGAAAAAGTATGTTTTGTCCATTTCCTATTTCCTGGAAAAGAAATCGTTTTTTCCTTTTCCGTTTTCCATGAAAGAAGAACACCTCAGTTGCTTTAGATTGAATTCCCGTAGAAGTAAAATGTTTTATGTTGGGAAAACGAATATTTTTATTAAAGGTTCTCTTCTTAAAACTCAAATTTTTTTAAAGCATCAGCTTCTACTACATGTTGCACGAGCAATCTCAATTATTTATTTTTTAAAAATATAAATAGTTTACTGCTTTTAAAATTAAATATTTTAAAAGCTCAATTTCTTAAATATGGTAAGTTTCTAGAAATCCACTTTAGATTTACATATTTTTTTTCTGAAATTTTTGCAGGTGTTTCTTACAAGCAAACCGTGAAGTTAACTAACTATAAACTGCATAAATACTTATATTTAATTGTGTCTTGATAACGTGCTTATAAATTTCTTATCTCATATTCAAACAATACTTTTTATATTTTAGGCTGGAGAAGTAACTATTAGACCAGCATCTGAAAGACGTAAGTATTTACTAAATGATAATAGATAATTATAGTTGCACCTTAATTTTGTTTAGTAGTTTGGAAAGTAATTTAATTTTTTATGAAATTATGCAACTTTCTAATTGTAAATAAAAACTATATTGAATCATAGATTATCCAATATAGCCCATAACTTTTGCTATCTTTCTGGTAATAGCATGATATCAAGCACCTAAAATTTATGCTCTTTGCTGGGAAAATGTCCATGCTGTTTGGAAGTAAATATATTAAAATTTGTTCTAATCTGAAATTAATTTTGTTCGGAATGCTACGGAGTTTTTTCAAAATGATATTTTTAATTGCGTTTATTTGTTTGAATGAATGCAGGTTTATAAATAACATAAAAGTTAATATACGTCTAAACCTATTTCAATTTTATAGATTATATTTTGTGCTACGTAGACTAAAGTGAAAAACAGCGCGAATCAAGTACAAAAATGGACATGCTATAATTTCCGTTTTCTAGACAAGAACCTTCCTCAGCATCTAAGTGCCAAATAACAGTAGAAAAGTAAAGAGGTAACCACGTTTTAGATAGTTCAACCAATCCGGACAAGGGAATAAGTTTGAATTAAATAATAAAAAGAAGATGGCAAAATAAAAACGCTAATAAGAAACATGTAAGCAGGTTTGATGGAAACCTCTGGGGCAAAACATGAAAATACACTGGTGTAAGGAATTAAGAGAATTTGCAGACTTGGTCGATTATCACTAGAACTACAGGAACGATTTTAATGAAATTTGATATGTACATACATTGATACAATACAAAGCAAATAACAAGTCAACAATTATAATACACACGCATGATCGTGCGTAAGACTGGTTGTAGTCGGAAGGTATGAAATTCCCGCAGGACAATTCAGGCAAATTGCTACAGGAAATGATTAACTGCCTTATTTCAAGCATGAAATCACGATGCAATTCTTGTATATCTGTAAGAGGGTACCATAACCCCTATTAACCCATTTTTGTTTGTTTATTCTGCATCCGCTTTTTCACCTTCTGACTCCAACGAGTGTTACGCTCTATCATTCGTGTTGTTGAATGATTTTTTGTTTTGCAATGTATCAATGTATTGTGCAGATCAAATTTCATTAAAATCGGTCTAGTAGTTCTAGAGATAATCAACCAAGTCTGCAAATTCTCTTTATTTGTTACACCAATCCAATTCCAGTTATTCCAAAATTGCACAAAAACTGCAGCTTGTAGATTAGTCAGTGGCGCGAAAATATCCGCTTAAGAACTGTTCGAAATTCTAGCGCAACAGAGCAATAAATAAATAAAATTTTCCTCGTTGTTACCCATTTTTGATTTTAATACTGATGGAAAATATTCCTATTTTCGTTTATAGGAAATATTTGTATTTTTAGTACAATTGTATATTCTGGAATACCGTATTTATCTATTTTAATTCAATATTTTGAACTAAATGATGGAGAAAAAATCTTGCTAGATTAAAGTTTTCCAATGGAATTCTCCCTACTGGTTTTTTTGAGCCTATGGGTTAAAAAATGAATATTATATATATATATATAATATATATATTGCGTGGATTTATTAAAATAATTCATGGCCCTTACTATTCTTAATTTATATATATATATACATTCTGATAACATAATTGTTTTAAAGAAACAAAATAAAAAAAATATCAACCGAATGTTCAAAAAAGCTAGGACCTACAAAAGTTTAAAAAAATCAAACCAATAAAAGATTTCATCCGACATGATATATGTGACCATTGATATTCAATTTCACTTCGTAAACATACGCAATGCAGGAGAATAGTTAAATCATAGAAAGTGGGTCTTAGAAAGAATTCGGAGCTTAAGAATGTTAGTTCCTTGGGGAAAAAACTGAATTTAACTATTACCCGTTTTGAATCTTGGTATAAAAATGTCTTCCCAGGAATGAATAAAACTTTTAATTGATGAAAAATTTATTAAAAATATGCTTTGTTAAAATATTCATATTAATATTTGAATAATGGAATTTTCGCATCAGAAAATCCTTTCTAGAGATGATTTTATGATTTCCATGAATCTCCCAGCCGTACATTATGCATTCCATTTGGAATACTTTCATTACTTAATGCTACATATCTCGTAATTTTCAATTTACATTCGTTTTTCGGTTGAAAAAAATTATTTCGCCTCCCAGAAAATATTGGATACAGATAAGTTCGTGTAATTGACGCTATGTGTAAAACTGAATGTTCCTAAGCGTAATAGCTTTTACCCAATTTGATCCAAACACAAAAGGAAATAAATCTGAATGACTTCCGAGATGGAAGAAGTAAAAAAGCATCTTGGTTCTGTTCTACCCATCTTTGGGAAGGAAAGTCGTAAAAGCAGAAATGGCTTGTACCTTCATTTATTATTCACATTCATAGTCAATTGAGGAACAGCTTTCTGCATTCCAGTTGCAGAACTGGAATGACTCAGATCGTTTACCCATTTCGCCTTTTTGTATTTGGCAAATGTAAAATGACCTTTTCTCTAGGATTTAGGAGAAACGTCGATGTTTGTCTCGTCTTGTACTAGCCTTTATTTTCAATATTATTTTTTTCGCATATGCATTTTTCTAAGGTTGTAACTATAATGTAATACCCTGCTGATTTAAATTTTTGCCAATTTATTTTATCTTATTATCAGTGTCTCACCTTATGAAAAGTTCTTTTCGCTAAAAATTCTATTGAGAAATATTTAAATGTAAAATCATAATATAAAAGCTTGTAAAAATTGAATATTTTTAATTTAATATTTTAAAAAATTAAGACAACAGTTTTAGCTTTAGTTCTTCTTTTAAAATGTATGAATCTGTTTGCTGTTTTATATCCGTAATTGAGATTAAAACATTATCTTTTAGGTCTTGAACCACAAAATTCATTTGAAAAACAAAAGAGTGGACCATTACCAGAAGAAGGTCAAATGTCCAACCGCTACTTAGAAGAAGAGCAAAGAAGAAATGCCATTAACAGTGGTGTTTGTCCAATAGATCCCAACACAAGACGGCAACTGCCAGGCGGCGAACCTTCTAAACGGCCTCAACATCCACAGCATCCAGATCAAGTTTCTTCACCACCAGTTCCAAAAGCACGTACTTCTCTAGGAGACCCCAACATGCATAGTGAAGGTAGAAATGGAATACCAAGGACTATACCATTAACTTCTTTGGCTCAAACTCTTGAACAACAGTCTGATCCACGCACTAGTATTTCTAGACAGCAAGAATGTTTTGTGGAGCTTCCGTCAATGAAAAATGACAAAAACTTGATAAACGATTTATCGCAGCATAAGCAATCAGGTGGTTCTCAGGGATCATTCTCACAAGAGCATAAGAGAAATGAAGATTTCGTGCATCCAAACATCGTAGACAATAATGCCGCCTCGGGAAGAAATGATTATTCTAGAAAAAATGGTGATGGCTCGAATAAGCCTAAGCCACCACCTACACAACAGCGCCAAAAAATGGATCGACCTAGAGAGCAGCCACCATATCCTCCTCAGGTAGATAGGAATAATTCTAAAGCTGGGCAAAGCAATGTTCAGTATGACGAACAGGCTTGGCGAGATGCGAGGAAAAGTAAACCTTTACCACCTGAGTCAAACACCCAGGATCTTGAAGGTTATCAAGATGAGGAAGAGGAACAAAATATTGATGATTACTTTGAAATGATCGAAAAAGCAATAAGTAGACCACAGCAACAAAATATAGGCGTAGGAAAAAGATCATCAGACATACAGCGACAATTAATGAATCACGAAGGAGATCGAAATCATGCTGCGGCATCTGGTTCAGAATATAGTCCTCAAAAAGGTCAAGTTTCTGCTGTTCTCAGGCAGATAGATTCGCTTAATCAAAATCAAGGATATCAAACAACAAACGTACCACAAAATAAGCAGTTTCCTGGTGGATATGACCAAAGGAATGATAATATAAAAGAAAAGAATGATTTAAATATTTATGATAAGGCCAGTTCGAGAAAAGATTTTTACGATATCGATAATGAGGAATACTCAAGAAGGGATAAAAAAGAACAATATATTATTCAACCAACTGACCACAGATTTCAACCTCAACAAACCTCTGATGAATTTGGTAAACAAAAGAAAGATCTTAGTGGGAAATCATACGATAAGCTTTTGCTACATGAATTGACTCCAGATACAAGACAGCCATCCGCAAAGCACTACTTGGAAGAGCATAAGACGCAGCCTCTATCATATGAAGCATTTAGTTCTGTTAAAGCAATGCAGCAAATGCAACCGGATACTAGGCAAGAACAGCATTTAGCTCAGTCACAAAAGCAAAGTCAAGGAAGTGAAAATGAGGTAAGAAACCAAGCTCCTTACTACTATTCTCAACAGACATCAACTGGGACCTATTATCAAGGAACAGGACAAAATAACAATGCATATGAGAGTAATGATACAACAAAGAATGGTCAGGTATCAAACGGAGGCAAACCTGTTTCCAATGACGCGCAAAATCAAAAGAAAGCAAAACCAAAACCAGATCCAGGAGACTGGTCACCAGTATCTGATTTGTCACCGATTTTAGATGTTTCTCCATCAGTTGAGGCAGCGGAACAGGAGCTGATGGAGAAATTCCAAGAGAAAATAGTTATTGAGGATGACGATGAGGACATGTTAGACGATGATGATTCACGTCTGTTAAAAGCTGGTGGCATACCCAGGGCTACAAGTGGTACCATCTCGGGAATGTTGGAAGAGTTCAACAGAGCTCTTGGTCTTCCTGGTACCTCTCCAGTAGATGACTCTGGGATCAAGTCAGCAGTGTCTCCTACCTCTCTTGCCATGAGCCCAATCTCAAGTTTGAGCTCATCATTAACATCAGTGTCATCAATTCAGAAGGAATACCAAGTAACTAATTGAAAATATTAGTAAAAATGTAGAAGAAATATATAAAAAATAATTTGGAATCGCTACAAACAAGAATTTTAGCTCAATTACCTGTAGTTGTTAGAATTTGTCCTTTTTAAAAATTATGGTATAGCTTTTTTGATTCTTAAATGTACAAAATAATTCAGTTATTAATCTTTTAAGGGATGCATTTGTTTGTATGATAAGAAACAAAGCATTTTACTTAAATTTATATTCTAATACAGGGTAAATAAGATCATTTGAATAATATAGAGACAAATTAGCACTTTAAATAAATAAATAAACTAAGTAATGCTTGCTTGTAAACATTGCATTAAAAAATTTTGCTCTCATGTACTCCGGTTTCATAAACGAGTAAAATTACTTAGCTATCTTATTTATTTTAAATGTTAGTAAAGTTATTCAGATAATTTTCATTCCCCCTGCATATTAGTTAAAACAATATATGGTATTTTGCAGGTAATTTATATTTTAAATTGATAGAAAATATTTAACATTTTGCTTGCTAGTAATTAATATTTTTTTACATTGAAAAATTTATAAAATTAAGTTGCTGTTTTTGAATTTTTTTAAATTATTGATCTTTAAATATATTAAAAATAATGATTAGCGGAACATTTTTTGTTATTTTTTACTGGAAATGAATAGTTTAAAAATGTTTATGAATTATTTTAGAAGTAATAATTTATGAATAGTTAAAAATCTAAAACAGTACGATATAACATAAGTAACCTATTTTTGCAGAAACATATTAAACCTAATTATTTCGATTAAAATATGTTTACTATTCGTCTATGTAACGTTTGATTACTTGCTGGCTCACAATTTTAGACAAATTAGCATTTTAAACAACATGTTATTATTTTTTTTTGAGCAAACGCTCTTTACAAATCAGAAGTTAACTTTTTGTTCTGAAAATAATACAAAAGTCAGAACAAAATAATGTTTTTTTTTTTTGCAAATAAAATTTTATGAAAGTTTGCGAAATATTTTTGAAACTTTTGAGGGCTATTTTATAGTTTTTAAAAAGTTAATCTTAAAACCATTTTTATATAAATTTAAAAAAACAACAACAATATATAATTACTTCAGCGTCGCCATGCATATTCACGACAAATAAAATTGTACAAATGTTATCTTTGTGAGTTTACAAAATAAACAATGCTTAAATTTTATAGTTATAATTATTTATGATTTTTCAAGGAAACTTTTGGATCCCCTCAAAAAAGTGTCCCTGGTGGATCGCCCCAAAAAACACCGGCTCAGCCAACTACTCCTAGACGTTCTCATAGAAGACTTCCTCAACCAACAGTTGAGCAAATGCAAGCAGCTGTAGCGATGGCAGCACAAGGACCAAGAGATAAAAATGCTCAACCACCTAGGTAACACTAAAAGCTAATTGGGGGTTTGGATTTTAGACATTCTAATAAGGTTTGAATATCCCACTCGAAAATTAGATTTCAAAATTATTCAAAACTGCCTACAATTAACTGCCTATATTAAAATTTTGTGATAAATAGAACTTGAAAACTCAAAATTTAAAATATTATGCCCCTATCACATTTATGAATGAATTTAAAAAAATCCTTTATTTCTTTGCTTAGTTAAATTACCTTTACTACTCAAATGAATGAACGATAAAAAGATATGAATCATCAAACTGAACTAAATTCTTACTTTTACTTTTTTTAATATATTATACTTTAAAAAAAATCCAAATCGAATTACAATAAAAAGTATCGAATTGAAATAAAAAGTAAATCCATTTTTACTGGATGTAACATGTTGCGGAACAGAAAATTTGATGTACAGTAATTTTTATATTAATATGTAGAAATAGACACTGTGATTTTGCAGTACTAATTACTGCAAAATCACTGAATCACTCAAATTAAATAAATATTGCTAATATCACCACACTACTTATCACTGATATCTCTACTTTATACTAATTATCACTACATTGTAAAAATTTCGGGATCAAAATACAGCTAAATGCATCGACACTCCTTATGGTGCTGGTAATTTCTGTCCTGAAATCCATTTTTACCGGAACAAGTTACAGAACAAAAGATCTGATATACCATAATTTTTACCGTAATCATTACCTTAAAACTACTGAATCATTCTAAGTAAATATTATTGTATAATTTTATAATTTTTATAACCGTGGTTGAGCAGCCGTCCCAATTTTTGGGTTTACGACTACTAATGTTCAACTCCGTAGCCGTGTAATTTTGAACCCAATCCAGAAGACAAGGGAACTGCTGGATCAAGTAGTGGGAGAAATTTGCCTTCGTGGAGGACTTTTGATGGAACTAACCCGCATTTACGTTATATGGAGTGAGAGACCACGAGAACCTTCCACGGTTAGCCTGACGGCAAGCGGTCTCTAACCCATGATCCGTCTACCACTGAGGATATTTCACGTCATCACTGTGGTATGCGGAATTTGTATCAACCAGCCATCACCGGGATCGAACTTCGGTTCACCTCATTAGAAGGTGAACGCTCTAACCCCTAAGCCATCGTGGCTGAAGTAAATATTATTGCAAAAATTACGGATGATGCACCCAAAATTGAGGCACCTTATACCGTTATTTGATGCAGAATTTTCTACGGTGTAGGAGTCTCCTCTCATCAATTTATTTTGTTTCTCATTCACAAATGTTTTTTTCCTTCCATCGACATTTTTCCCTAACACAAAAACATTTTGTTAACAAAATATGCAATTATTGTAGTATTCTGTACGAACATTCAATTGATATGATAAAAGAAACTGACGATTACCTGGATTTAAAAATTAACAATTTGAATCTGAAAAAGAAATAACGTAAGGAATACACAGCGTATGACTAAATACTATGAAGTAATAACAGCAGTTCGAATGAAGACTTCAATAGGGAACAGTTCAAATCGGGAATGGTTTTCTTCTGGACACAAGAACTTCTTTACTTTTTAAGATTTTAATATAAATGTTAAGATATATATCTGACAATATCTAATCTCCATTCTTCTCTCCCGTTTTTTTTCTTTTTACAGCGTAAATTCAAGCTCTAACTTACAAAAATCTGTAAAGAGAAATATACTGGATTAATTGAGACTAGTTTCGTGCAGAAAAATGAAATGTGACGTAAAGTTGAACAACCAACACACCGGATCTTACAATTTTTTTTATACAGAGACGCAATATAGCTTTTTTTATTATGTAATATGGCTTTTTAATAAAAATTAAAAATTAGTCTATGGGGAGTCGGTAGGGCATATATCAAGAAAGCTAAAACTGACCTTTTTCTATGTACCTTTTCTAAGAAGCTACTTATGATATCGCTTCGAAATTTTTTGGAGATATTTAAGGTTATATCAGTAATTAGCTGTGATAGTTTTTTAGCGTTAGCAACAATACTTTTCAAGTTATGAAAGATTTTTCATGAATCTTTTTAAAAAAATTAAAAGTTCTGAGTTCATTATTTAAAAACAAATTCTGCCAAAGATATGTATTAACAGTTAGCACAGTGTGAACATGTATATGTAAATATTCGGTGAAAAAAAACTGATGCAATATCTTATTTAGATGCTGAGAAAAGATACATCGAAAAGGCAGTTTTAGCATTGTTGGTCAATGCCCTATCGACACTCCTCTTTCTGTTCTATAATTTCTATTCTAAAAGTATAGTAACTTCAAATTCAACTTATATAAAAAGATTCTTTCTATTATTAATATGAAGCTGCTACTCGTAATTCTTACAACAGAGAATTTTTAAAAGACGTAAAAAAACTGCAAAAATGATTCTATTTAAAAAGAAATTTCTGTTCCATTTTTTAAATTTTCATTTTGGGAAGAATTTTCTTGGGTTCAACAATATCAATTCTATGAAATACGAGGCGCTACTGGAAAGTAAGTTTCCCTAATTAATAATAAAAAAAAAAGAACTAACACTTTCGGAATCATATTTATTGGCAACAAGTACAGCAATGTTTAAGCCATTTTTCAACATAGCCACCACCAAAATTGAGACTCTTGTCGTATCATGGGATAAACTTTTGTATCCCTCTGTTATAGCACTCTGCCGCCTGTGACAGGAACCAGCGTATGACAGACGTCTACTATTACTCTGACCGTTACTGCTAAACACTACAGAAATTGTGACGAGCCATTCAAAACAAGAGTCGTGGAATGTTTACTGCAGATGTTGCGCTCCTCCACGACAATGCTTGTCCACATACGGCATGACGCACAGCAGCTGTTTTGACGGAATTTGGCTGGGAGGTGTTTGATCATGCACCCTATAGCCCTGATATTGCTCCCAGTGATTTTCAAGTTATCTTGCACCTCAAGAAATTCCTGTTCTCCGGTGAGCGTTTTAGCAACGACGAAGAACTGAAGACGTCTATCACACGCTTATTCCATTCACAGGCGGCAGAGTTCTACGACAGAGGGATACAAAAGTTGATTCCACGATACGACAAGTGTCTCAGTTCTGGTTGTGGCTATGTTGAAAAACAGCTGAAACATTGTTGTACTTGTTGCCAATAAATATGTTCCTGAAAGTGCGAGTTCGTTTTTTTTATAAGTTAGGGAAACTTACTTTCTGGATGCGCCTCGTTTATTAGCATATTATAGCAAAATAATTAAGACGTTAATAGTTTTCTATTTAAAGTAATCATGCATTTTTTTTTGAAGCACAACCGGTCAGCTTTTGTTTGGAGTAGAGCCCAAAGCACAGACTAGTGGTGGACTGAATTCTCCATCATCAGCTTGGAAAGTACAAGAACCAAATCAGTCTTTCGAACAACAGTACAATACTCAACAAGTTACAGTACAACCAACTTTGGATAACTATACTGTGAGTAATTAAGCATAACATTGTTATTATGAGTCGCTGACAGGCAGCAAGATTTTTTTAATCTGTTTATGTTTACTGAACTTTTTCTGTAGCGTTCCGTAAAATAAGAATGCGTCTTAAATTTTTTAGTTTTCATGATCGGGTTATGACTAAGAAAGATAAGATCTCAACGGCTTAAAAGTTATAATATAAGACGAAAACCCTCAAAATAAGGATTGGGTTAGCAGTAATCTGGGGAAAAATGTGAAGATATTATTTATCCAAAAGTTAAGGAATTATTAATTGTTTTTATTACTTATTTTTTAAAATAACAATAAAAAAAAATTTAATTCGCTAGACATAGGAATTTTTATGCCATTTTAAACTACGTAATTTTAAATAACAAAGTACCAACTTTGAATGAAACTCATTAAATAGTTTCTAAGTAATGAAATTTCGTAGAAATCATCTTTTTTTAAAATTTTTTTTCTGAAGAACTATTTGACGCATTCCCTTTAAGTATCGGGTTCCTCTATTTTCCTTGCTCAATTTAACATGAAGCAAAATTTCGTATGCCTTACAGTTCAAAGTTTTCAATTAATTAAATAATAATAATAAAATATATTTTTCTTCAAATTATCTTTGGATAAATGATTTATTTAATAAAAATATTTTGTAATTTGGAAGTTTTGCACATTAGGAGTCACAATTAAAAAATTAAGGGGGAAGAAAACAAAATTCTTTCGAACTATGGCTGATTACTATTAAGGTCAATGATTTCAAAATGTGGTTTAAAATAATCTAATTATTTATTAGAGAATGAAGCTGAAGGGCGATTCCAAGAATTAGGGGAAATCATTCCAGTCCTATTAGCGAAGTATCTTGATGATTTCAATTCTTTCTTTGAGCTTTCTGACTTCAGCTATGATTTTTCAAAGAATTGGATTGTTTTTTTCCAGCAATAATTTGTGAAAAAATAATTTGTGACTACTGATGTAGATAATAATATCTATTTCATGTTATTTAGCAAAGACAGCCATCACAAAATGTCCCGCTTACTATAACACTAAGGAACAAATCTTTTGTGGCATTTATGCAAATACTTTACCTTGCCTAGTTCGGGAGAGGGGACTTCAAATCTGAAATTAGATTTGCCCCTAAAGCTGCAGATACAGTCCTTAATCTTATTCCTAATTCTAAAATGGCATTTCTAGTCTATTTTTTCGAAATGTGCAAGTTTGAAAGCGATATATACAACAAGGGTTTGCGTAAGTGTAGCTACAAACTTCTAGGGGAACTAGGGTTGATCATTAGGATTGAAATTTCATAGGAACCCATGCCCGAGGATGATTTCATACGCCGTTAAGGGTTCGTTCCAACTATGAACTGTTTCTCCTGAACAGGTGATAATGGGGAAGCACCGATAGTTGTGTGAGACAAAATTCCAGGGCATGGGTTCCTATGCAACTTTAACCCTGATAATGGGCTCTGACTATCTTAGAAGTTTATTGCAGCGTTTATGAGATCGCGTATTATAGATAAAATGTTGTACATGTTGACAAAAAAAAGACTAAAAATGAAAATTTTATTAAAAATATATATAGGCTGGAGAGAGAAGCAAATTTCTGATTTGAAATCAGCTTCACGAAAATATATATAAGATCTGTTAAAAGATCCATGAAACAGAAAACAAAAAAAATGTTTCCCATTATAATTGATACCAAATATTTTGCGATAATCATGCACAGAATGATTACAAAATTGATTTGCTTACTAACGAATGCCAAATCTATATATTTTTTTCTAACTTGAGATTGAGGTTTACTGATCAAAAGTCTTTAAATCCACAAGACTATCGTCTCTTCGGTCCTACCACCTGAAATCATAAAACTAAAGAATATTAGGATTGAACTTCTGCAACTTTATTCCTTTTTGCACTCGAATCTATGAATCAGGGCGAAATAAGAAGCCAAAACTTCTCTTATCCGTAGCAACCAATTCTAATTATTTTGGACAAAAAGAAATGAAATTAGAGCTACAAGTTAAGGTTTTCAATGTGATATTATAATTAAATCATGCCTTAACTAAACAAAATACCGATCGTTTATCACCCAGAGACAACGTGAGAAATTAAAAATTCAAATTCAAATCTTCATAGAGTTAATTCAGAAATAGCATATCAGTTTCACAAAGCTTCGACATGTTTGAAGACTAATTACATTTCAAATGCCAACTGAAGAATCGATATCCTCGGAAATAGAAAACCCCCTGAGGAACTACACAATGCAGAACTATGATAGGTATGAGGATGGAATAATTGCACTTCCACCATCCATCAACTGATGTCGAGAAAATCTAAACTTTCCTGGATTAAAGAAGTGTAAGTGCCAAAGGGCTTCACGCGCTTTGAGTGTGACATGGTTCACGATAGACGATGATAAAATTAAAGCGTAAATACTACTGACAAATACTTTCTATTTTGTCGAAATAAAAGCAATTAATGGTTAGGCTTTTTAATTCAAGCAATTAAACAAATTTGTTTGGTATCTTCATTCCTTACATGAACTTCGTATAGAAATTACCTGGCAGTAAAGCAGCTAGGTTAAATGGCGAAAAAATACGGTTAAATAGCTTAGAGAGGTAAACTGATTTTATATTGTTATTGATCATTTATGATTCTTACGTTAAATGATTTAGAAAGATTTTGATGATTTCAATTCTTTCTTAGGGTTAGGAGTAAATTTGTAATTTTTTCGCTTTTAATGATAAGGAAGCCAATGACATAAGTTCAGCTGGCATACGATTAGCCACCCCAAAAAAAATCACTAGAAACATATTTTTATGCGATGTTTTGCTCTCGAGACTATATAAATTGGTTAAGAAAGTAAGTTATGACAATTTTACAGGTACATCACAACTAGGGGTTGATTTTATTTTTAAAAAAAATAATTAGTAACAAGTTGTAGTGTTAAAAAATACTACTCGCAAAATTGGAGTTCATACTAGGGTTTTTAAGGCCATATGTCAATCTATACATTTCGTGATGCAGCTTAATCATCTCTGCGTGACTTACAGAAATAAACGATTACTATATTGTTAATATCAAATACCTAAATATTTATAAAAGTTTAATTAATATCTTATCCTATTTTCCTCCTTCAAGATATCTACATCTGTTTTCATAATATCAATATTATGCACTGAGTTTGACGCACTTGACAAAATTTTTGTTACAGGAATTAAATTTGAGTTTTATTAAGGCAATTTTCACGATAATTACTACTGTATTGCACGATAAACAATAGGACATAACTTTCGTATGGTATGGCAAATTTTTGAAAGCATTGCACCACTTTTAAAGTTAGCGTTTTAAACCCTCAAAGTTTTAAGGCATTAAAACCTTTAACACAAGATATTTTTCTAATGACTCGTTTATTTAAAAAAAAACTACTTGATTTTCACCTCATCTAAGTTTTGTTTCCCCCTTGATTTCCATGTCTTTCCATAGTATAACCTTAGCACTATGAATCATGGATTACCATCTAGAGTTTATACTAAACCTTAAAAAGGGGTAGAGTGCAAGGAATTGAATAGGACACTACAACCTGAAGAAAGGGTATTGAAATTCACAAAAAACTGTATGGTTCTGTAGTGACACATAATATTCAAGACTCTTAATATATTTACTAACAAAATTTTACTACGATGAATTTTCAAATTTTACAAATTGGTTTTAAAATGCGCAAATTTTGAAATAGCCCAGATTATAAAAATACTTTCGAAAACAGTAATAATAACTCTACCAAAAAAGTGATATAAAAATTCTCTTGCATTTACACAAAATCGCCGCGAATAGCGTCACAAAGTGAACACTCATATTCGAAATAATAGTGTTGCAATAGCATTGTATTGTATTGTAACGTGGATTTAAGAGGGAATCGTATTAGATCAAGCTCGTCAAGAAGCGATAACTGTAATTCGAAACACGTATGCGGTTATAATATCGTATTTAAGTACTGGAATTTGAAGAAGAAAAAAAGAAGAAAACCACTTAGATATGGCCGAGAAAGCGATAAATAAATACCAATAAAACGACGAAGATTTATGAAGGAATCTTCTTAAACAAGACCAATATTAGCAATGTTTGCTTCTGCGCTTTTCTGAGCAATCTATTTTCTTGCTAGATATTTGTCACTTGCTAGCCAACAAAACGGGTCCCAACCTATTTAAAATACTTGCTGTGCATTTAATTGCGTAAATCCACTAAATGGCGGCGATAATTATTTCGGCATTTTAACCCCTGTTCCAACACGTCTACAGATTTGTCCTTTTTTCAACAGTTCTTAGATACTCTTATGCCGCTGATTTCAAATCTGCAATTAGCTTCTCTCTCCTAGATACAGATTTTTTAAATCACATTTTTATTCAACTTTTTGTTGAAATGTTCAAGTTTAAATACGTTATTTATAACAGGGGGTCGTATAAATGTTGCGACAAACTTCTGGTGGAGTTAGGTACATCGCCAGGATTAAATTTGCATAGATACGCGTATAAGGGAGTCTTATGAACTGTTTCTTCCTGTGCTTCTGAACAGGTCATAATAGGGAAGCGTTAATGATCTCTTACGACGACAGTTCCAGGTGTGGGTGTCTATGCAATTTTAATCCTAATGATGTGCAGTATTTCCCCTAGAAGTTTGTCGCAGCTATTACGTGATCTTTTGTTATCTGTAATGTTCAACTTGTACTTTTCGACAAAAAATAGACTACAAATGTCATTAACAAAATCTGTAGCTTTAGGAGTAAAAATAATTTAAGATTTGAGCTCCCGACACTCAAATTAGGCAATATCAAGTATTTGCATAAATGCAACAAAAAATTTATTCACCAGTGCAATAGGTTGTAAGCTTGCGGGCGGCACAACGGCACAAGGGGTGCATTTCGGTTGAAAAAAGTGGTGATCGGCTAGAGATTAATAAACAAAATTTCAATCGCTATTATTTATATTTATTCACCTATTTATCATCAGAAGGCCGTTAATTTTGCCTTATAATTTACAGCAAGTCATTTTATCAGGATACTGAGGTGTAATGGTCTGAATATTTATGAAACCGGTTACATTTTCCGAATTAAAATTTGTGTTTGTGTTTTGTGATGATACTTGAGTTGTATGAATGTTAGTATAAGTTTTTTAGCCGTAATCTGCTTGCTAGTGTATTTAAAATTATTTTCTCTTCTTTAGAACGTTCCTAGTCCTGCACCTAGATCTCAACCACGCAGTGCTTCCAATGGTCAGAAGGTTGGAGAATCCGTTCAACCAGTACCAACTGTCACATTACAAGATGGTAGGCAAATCTAATATTTTTGATTTCTTCACACATTCAATTTCTTAAGAGGTGAAGATTATTTTTTTTACACATTTCGTAAATATGCGCAGTTGAAAAAGTTGCTTTGAAATGGGGATCGCGTCAGTGGTGCAAATAAATATATTCGGGAAGTCATATAAGCCCCAAATCCAATAGATAATATGATATAGTTAAAGAAATTAACTAGCATCAACATAGTCAAAGAAATTTATACAAAGTAATGCATTGTCAAAGAAATTCCTAAACAGTAATCCATAGTCGAATAAATTCAAACAAAGTATCAAGTAGATGATATAAATAATATTAATAGTTTAATTAATAAAAAATGCTGAGTGCTTCGCAAAATGCATATGGTTTATCCCTGATGTTAAAATTTTGAGTAAATCAGATAGAAAGTAGAAAAGTTACAGTGTGAGAGAGATTTTGAGAAGACGCCTTTTAAATTTGCAAACGCTTATTTCCCCCATAGCGCGTTAATGCGAATTGCTTACATTAATATAATACATATTCATATCAATTTCAACTTGTACTTCAGAATAATGTGCTCAAATGTGGATAGCTGTCAGAATATGTATTAAAAACGAATTTTAATTTTTAAGTAAACAAAACAATAAATATCAAAATCGCAATGAAGGCAAAATAGTAACCATAAAACATTAATTTTCAAAACACTAATTTTTAGCTTTTTTGAGTTATATGTCATTAATGTATTTTTTTCATAAGATTTTGATGTAATTTTATAAATCAGGATGCCATTTGGATGCCATTTCTTCGTATTATTATTGTACGTGGTTTTCAATTGTATATTAATGATTTTTCTGAAATGATTACTATAAAATGTTTGGTGAGAAAAAGAATATGTATTTGAAGGACAATCTGATTTTCTCCTAATACTACTTTTCATTGAATCTTAACTCTATTACTTTTTCATATAAATTGCTGATGATTTTTGTGTACTTATTAACAGTAACTGATATTTTTGTATTTATTAACAGTATGTTATTAAAGGATCATGTGTTGCACATTTTCTTTTTTTGTAAATAAATTGTAATTTGTATGGTTTCATTGGAGTATAATCACTGTTACATTTTATCGGATACTGTAGAGTGTCATGCGTGTAACTATGATACATCATATATATTAAATATTAAATCTGTTCAGAAGTTCTGGAGATAATCATTTAACTTTCACAAATTCATTAAACTTTGGACACTGGTGTTCATTAGAGGAAATTAATTAAAAGAAAAAAATCATTAATTTGAACTTATTAAATTTTGGTTAATACGATAAAGATAATAATATATAGATTACATCGCATAATGCACAGTGAGAAATATTTTGGCCAAGACTACCAGAATATGGTAAAACTTACCGCGTTTCTGTCTGTATGGGAACACCAAATAGCTTGGTAATTTTTATAGAAATGCCTTGGAAAAGATTTTGTTAAAAATAACAATAAAATATGATTTTATAATGTATGATAAAATTTGATAATATTTTCATTACAAATAAGAACAAGGCATAAAAATCACTTTTTCGATTAAACCTAATTTTTAGTTTTGCATGTTTTATTAATTGTGTGGAAGTAAGAACTATAAATTTGAAAGCCAAAACTTCTGATAAACCATTGCCATATGAACAGAAAAATTACCAAATGAATGGTTTAAATTCTGCATAATTTGGCTTCATTAACCAGAAATGTGTTTCTTCTTTATCATGAATGTCATTAGTACACAGTACTGAAAATGTTACCTTATTTTTTTCTTAAATGTATAATTAATACAGCATGTGAAATCTTATTATGTCCAAAGTACACGCAAAGATAGTAATAGACACCTTGATCACTTAAACTGCCATAATTTAGGCGCAAAATTACATTGTGAGTACTTTAATGCGTTGGCAAAGAGAAGACCGTATCCCCGATTAAACTATTTTTTTTATAGTTCTACACGGAGAGAAAATTCTGGTAAAACTACCATACTATATAATAATGGTATTTATGGTAAAAAATCCATAATTCTGCTTGATAAAACTAAATGAAAAGGTTCTGTATTTAAACCATTCATTTGATATTTTTTACTTTCATATGGTAACTGTTAAACAAAAATTTTAGTTTTCAAAATTAAAGTTATTGTTATCTCCATTTATTTCGTAACTTTTTTTTCAAATGCCTAAACACTCAATTTTTCCTTGATAGATCTACATTCTTTAGATAAATTAGGGTTCCACGCCTTTCGACTTTTGATACTTAGTGATTTTTCTTATTTGATTTTGTTTATCTCCTTATCACTTTTGTTTTCTCGCAAGACTTAGTATATAACATTGTTTAATCGCTCTCTTAAGTTTTAAGTTTGTAAACAGATTTGGAATTTGTCAGAAAATAGACGTTTTTGTGAATACCATTTAATAATCCATTCAAAGCAATTAAATTCAGCAAATTGTAAAAGAAAATGTCGTTTAGTACCTATTTGAATTTATGTTGGAAAACTCCGAAAGTGTGAATGATGATACCAAATCGAGCATTCCTACATACTTCAAAGAGTGCAGCTAAATTTTAACACCAGATTAAGCTTATTCCAATCTACAGTTCATTGAAGTAGGTAGTACTTTTGGGAGCTCAGTAAATTTGGCGAATAATTAGTATATATTTCAACAATTCAACTAAATTCTTGTGTAAAACGATGGAAGGGTGAATTAAAACGAATATCAAATGCTTTTGAACCATTATTAGAAGTTAAAGGTAACTGTGCAGTTAGAATTTAATTGTGCAATTTCAAGATATTGTCAATTTGGTGCATTGTTTACATGAAGTGTGTTGATGAAATATGTGGGCCTCTAGTTGTATATATTTGACAAGCTGGTTATAGCCAAGTAAATGATATAAATTGATAATGATTTATAAAAAATATGGATGATGAATGATAAAATAATTGATAAAAGATATTGATTGGGATCGATTATTTGTCAAGTAATTTCAATCTTTTGTCAGATTGTTCTGGCAAACTTCTCATTAAAACTCTTAAAAAAGGCATGTATATTTTTAGTTGCATAATAAAGATATTTATTTTCTCATTACTTCTGTATAAAAATTGCTATCAAATCTGTATAAAAAAAGTATTTCTCTTATACATTCCAAAATATATTATGAAATATTCTGGAATATGTATAAAAATAGAAATATATATATAATAATGGAGGTATACAATAATGAAACTACATAATAATGAAAGTATATAATAGTGGATTCATTGAGATGTTTAAAAATATAAATATGTTATAATGGAAATATTAATAAAATATCGTTGATTTTTGTTGTCAAAAATGTAGATATTTGATAAACTTAAGCAATAATTCTTAAATTTAGTAAATAAAAAAGCTGAAGTTTTACAATGTTGTTATTTTTATACCCATAGTTCCTACTCCGCAAGTTCGTCGACTGCGTTCTGGCTCCTATGGAGGCAGCACTTCGCCAAAGCCTACGGAAGAGCTCATGGCTCGCTTGAATGGTGGTGGATCCTCGAGTCCTCACAACATCATGGATAACACCACCGTGGGATCCCCTCAGACACCGAGTACACCGAGAGATAAGGTAAAACTATTCACTCAGTAGTCATTCAAAAGGGAACATTACAAAGGGAATATTTCTCAGGTGTTGAAGGAGAATTTATACCCAAAAATCCGTTGATCAGCAAACATGGAGAAAGATCAACTGTCGATGGGGAAATCAGATAATTTTATCCAACTCTTCGGTCAAGGTTAGCAAGTTTCTGCCGAGGTGGTTAAAACTGGCATGGCAGAAACCCTTTTCTGCCACATTTGTGGCAGAAACTGGCAGAAATTCAGAAAATGACATAAAAGTAAGTACTGAGATTGACATACAATGGATAATTCATTGAAAAAACCATTAAATGTTAAACAAAGTACAATTTATTTATAAAATTATCAAAATTAAAAATCAAATATTACATTGTTTGCACTCTGCAGTAATCTATAACAAACGACAAGTTTTGATGCAGTTTCTGAACCTAAACAATTTCTCAATTTGCTATGCACGAGCGAGAAATTTGAGAAGATTTTCTCAAGTCCAGCAGAACTAGCAGGCATTGCCATCCACAAAAGATTAAAACTGTTACTGCTATAATAATTGAATTGTTGCCAAGCAAATTACGTATTGAAAAGAAAAAAAAACTATCTGAAAATAGCTCTATTCAGTTATATTAAGAGTTAGATGATAATAATTACTGAATTTCAGAGTTTAATATAATAAACTAAAGTCTAGTATATATATTTATTATTGCATTACATTATTCTTTATTTTATATAAATATTTGATATACTGCACTCTTTATATTTAATATAAACAAAATAATATATATTTACAAACAATGAATTAAAAAGTTTGTTACAGTTACATGGAGTTAAATTTTTCAGTTTACTTAAACAAAATGTCATTAAGCAATTACTAGAACTAATATAGAAGTTTTTTTAGTTTCCCCGAGTTTTTGCCGGTTTTACCGATTATAACCAGTTTCTGCCACTGGCATGGCAAAAACCAGTTTCTGCCGGCCATAAACCAACCCTGTCTTCGGAAGAGGCCTGAGGACGGATAGAAATTTCAAAAAAATTCCCTGAACAGGGAATTTTTATGACTAAATTCGACCTAATAATCGTGGAGTATTTTCTGACTATAATGATTTCAAATATTTTGTCGCTTATTTCTATTTTTGATTCATTTCTAAATAAACTGTTTCTTTTTTTCTTTTAAATATAGAACATGGTATTGAGTAAACTGTTTAGAATTTTTTTTGGAGCGTTGAATGCAATAAATTAAATGATAATATCGAAATGCAAAAACATTATGAGAGGATTATGTAGGATTACGTTGTGAGAAAGTTCTCATCCAATAATTTGCTTGCATTTTGATGTTTTGAAAATATTTTTTCAACATTAGAAACCTCATGTCTTAATCTTAGTATGTTTGAATTCACTTTTCTATAAATTTTAAATTTATTGAAGTAATTTGGGATGAAAAGTTTCCCCTGTGGTATAACGTCCTCTGAAAGAAGAATTCATCACCAAAAAATCCACAGATCACGGGGGAAAATCAGATATTTTTTCAAACTCTACGTAGTTGCCTAGGGACGAAGAGGAATTTCATAAAATTTCCCTAAACAGGGAATTTTTTGACTCACTTTTACCTAAACACAGCGAAATATTCCCCAATTATAATGATTTCAAATGTTCTCTCACTTATTTTAATTTTTGATTCATAGTGAATAAACTGCTTTTCAAAATGCTGAATATGATATCGGAAAAACTTTTTTTTGCTATGTTGAATGTAATAACTAAGATAATAAATTTATATACTCTGTATAATGATTTTAGAATACAAATTAGCTTAATATATTTAATTTGCATTAAATTATTACGTTTTTGAAAGCTATGCACCTACCATACTATTATTTTATATTTATACACTAGAACTGTACTAGATTATTTTGTTTGTATAAAGAGCATACTTTTTCCTTTCTCGTAGCTAAGAAACTTTATTTAATGAGTATAAAACTTTTCTCTCAAAATTATTCTTTGTCGGTAGAAAGGAAGCTTTCGTTTAGTATTTTTTTAGCTATACTAGATTTAAATATTCGACAAATACGCATGGGAATATATGATTGAAGTGTAAATAAATATGGCTGAAATGTATTAACATGCATATCACATATTTTTTCCTGTATTTGTTATGTCAGTTTATGTGCGTTGGTGTAACTATTATAAATCGGATAAATGGCTGACATTAGCTCTTGCTAGGTAGTAAATAATTTTTTAAAATGTTTATTACTTTCAAATTTTGATTAATTTTATTTTGTTTTCATTTGTAAAAATATCGTTCAGCTGTAATATAAGTTAACAAAGATTTCTTGATATTTTATTGTACATGCAATACTGTAAATTGCTTCTTTGCATTTCCTGTTTAAATGTTATTTTAAAATTTATTTTTATGTCATTCTTAACTACATTGAACTAAATGTGATTAACGTTTTTAATGTGACCTAAACAAAGTTATTTCTGATTGATAAAATGTGAATTCTGCAAAAAAAATATATTAAAATGATAGCTGCTTATTGTGTAAAGTTTTCAGTTATTCTAAAACTGTTAGTATTTTATACATTCTTCGTAAAATGATGCTGATGATACCCGCAAACAGAGATGCAAGAAAAGTTGTTGATTAAAAAATAAAAGTTTTTTAAGGTATTTCTAAATAATTTGGTATTGGAAATATTATTAAAAAGCGTCTAAGAATAATAAAACAGAAAGAAATGCGCGAAAAAGCTTTAAGTGCTTTTTAAACGACATGTTTTTGAAACGATTCATTCGAACTATACGATGAGTTTTTCGGACCTTTTTTCAAAGAATAAACAAATTAAAATGTTTATTGAGCTACAGTTATTTATTTATTTAGCACCACAGAAAGTAGAATCAATTACTGGGTGAGATTTTAAGCACCCTGAGTTTTAATTTCAAAGATAAATATGATCTGTTATTTGTGCGAATATCAATGCCTATGGTATAATACAAAGCAATGTTGATGCCGACGCTTTTTGCATCCGAAAATAATTTTTGTGGTAGTTTCTTCACACATGTCTTTGAGCTTGGACTGTAGACCCTGTAATTGCCACCCGGCAGTCTAAATAAACATCTTAATTTCATATGTCCGCATCCAACAACCTTGTATTGTACATCCTAAATGATCATCTGAGAGTGTAGGTGCACGTTTAAAAATAACAAGATGTTCAAGACGATTTGAAATGTATTCCTTTTTCCAAAATATCGCTGTCATTTGTCTTGTAAATTCCATTTAAGAAACTCTAACGTCCTTTTGTGTGATTCGCTGCATAAAATTCAGTTTGCAATAACAGCCACATTTAAGGTATAATTAAAAATGTCCCGCACCCACTTTATTGCTACTTAACTGAATCCTGTAGATAAAATAAAACTTATCTATGACATACATATTTCCAATCACATATTAATTTATAGGTTGTATAGTATAATTTATTAGTTGCATAGTATAGTGTATCAATGCTAGTTTCATTGCACAAGAATAACGCTAAAGTCTAATGATCAAATATCTATATCTTCCAAATCTGAATAAAAAAAATTATCTTAGAATGCATTGTTTCAAGCCAAACAAACAAAAATAGTTTAAATTTTTCTTTAACTTAGATGATAAAATTGAATACATTTGGAAAATAGTTCAAAATTACGAGCTATTTATGCCAAGAAAGGAGAAACTATTTACGCCAAGATTTAATGTAATGCTATTTTTTCTGAGCACATACATAAGACTCATTTAATGTTGAATATCAACTCTATCCAATAATACTAGTGTAATGATCCACACACCTCTCTTTTATCAGTAATCTTAATATAAATGAATTTTTTATTGATAATGAAATTTTTTATTGATAGAACTTTGCCTGAAAAGAAAAATGTTAGTAGGAATTAAGCGCACAATGAACGAATGAGTAATTGGCATGAAACTAGTTAAAAAGCTCTCCATTGTTTTATGCGTAGTGGCAACCTGTTCTAACCTGTTTGCTCCCTACACTGTTTTCATTTTATATGACTGAAATAATCTATAAAAGTTTTTTTCCATTGTTAAGATTAACTATAATATATTCAATATTAATTCTTTTAAACCTTTTGTATGAGTTTTACAAGCTTTTACGTTTACCGCCCATTAGCTTTTTTTAAAAAATATAAATTAGATAGCTGAATATTCCTTTCATCGTAAGGGGGGGGGGGAATAAGCAATCAATTTAGTGCTGAACAACACCACGAAATCCTGCTCAAAAATGAAAGACATATATCATTACAATTAATAAAACAAAAATAATTTCATTTTTTGAATTTATTGTATTTTGTCTTTCTCAGGAACTTTACGTTATTATATTAAGCAAAGCCTGTTTTTAGTAGTTTATCCCATCAAAATAAGGATTAACTGTTTTCAGAATCATTTGCCATGATACTGTTTCTCGAGGCCAATTCATAACTGCCAAAAGTTTCCCCAACCACGTGATTTTCTCCGGTACTTATTCTTTTCAAGGGACTTTAGAAACCTTATTTCACAGTATCTGTATTAAAGCTTCCCCGTATTGATGCTGTTTAAATCGATATCAAATATAGATTGTACTCATCAAATATATCATGCAATACATTGTACTTATATTTGCGCAGTTGGTACCTATTAAAGCTGCACAGGTAGTGCTTTTTACCAAAATTAATTATGTACCATTGGCATCTATAAGAATGTGGTGATTTTTTATATTTCCTCTAAGCCAATTAGAGCCATTTTTCCAATTAATTTTGCATTATAGTACTTAGAGTACGCAGCTTATTTATTTTGTTTCAGTTAGTACTTATTACTAAAGTTATTTAAATATCAAAAGTGCCACTAATAATGTTGAATTTTTTACGTTTTCCTAAATGATTTAGAGCGATTTCTCTATTAATTTTGCTTTATAGTACATAGCACATTTTTTTACTAATTTCAAAATTGATTAAGCATCATCTATAAAAATCGAACTTTTTACATTTCACTCAAAGGAATTAGTATTATTTCCCAATTAATTTTTTACAGTACAAGCTTGTTTTTAATTTCAATTAGTAATTATTACCAAAACTGATTAAGCGTCAATAGCATGAGTAATAATATAGCGATTTTTACATTCTTTCCTAAACGATTTAGTACCAATTCTCTATTTATTTCTTTTTCTAGAATATAGCAATTTCTTTAATTCAAAATATTACCTACTGACAAATTTAATATAAAGCAACATTTGTGTTATTAAGAGTGGGGCAAGTTTTTGCGTTTCTCAGTTTTCAGTTGATTTTAAATTATCTAGTTCGGTAGATGAATTTACGGTTTGAAAACATAACTATAAACAAAAGTTTCATGTGGTTTAAAATAACTTTAGAAGTGCTAACTTGGTTACCTAATCGACCAATGCTATCATGTTTATGCTGATCATAAAGTTCATCTGACATAGCAAATAAGAAATAATTAATCATTAAAGAATGTGCACAGCTTCTTTTTTTAAATATAAGCTATAAATGTGCTTGATATAAGCTATAAAAAAGAAAATGTCTGCTGTCAATCATTTTTATCAAAGGCTAGTTTCAAGTCGATGAAAAAATTCCAATTTTTCAAACGTCTTTCTCAAAGTATCTAACTGAAATTTTTTAACGATTTTCAGCATCAGGGGATAAAAATGCTTCTGTCACGCTGTCACGCACTGTCTCAATTTCAAGATGCTAGCTGAAATGGTTCTGGAGTTATAAGAGGAACATTCACACACACTCAAAAAACACATAAAATCAAACTCCTCATTTTACTATTATAGATCGCTAATAGATCATGAAATTTTTGGGATGTTATTCTTTCTATTTGTTCCCCAATTATATTTTGAGAATTTCTTTAAAAAAACTTTTGGTAACTCTGAAGATAATTATAAATTACTGTAATAGTGAAATATCATTGTTATTGTGTTTCTGCAACTAGTTGAAATTGAAATTTAGAACTCATATTTAATCATCAATTAATGTAAACTATACCTTCATATCTTTGTTTGAATAATAATATATGCAAACTGTTATTTTACCTGATGTGTTAAAATCATTTATTTTCTTTCAGCAGACTGGTGATTCTTCAGATACTCAGAGCGAAGCAGAGAGCATAAAATCCGTACGACTTAGACGGAAACTACCTAATCTTCCACCTGACCAATGCGCTTCACCCAGCCCCACTAGAAAAACAGCAGATCGAGCTAAAAACGGAAATGGTTTCCAAGACCACTTTGAAAACGAATCACCTTCTTTAACTCCAGCACCTACCGCAACCGTCACAACTACAGTAGTCACTGCAATTGAATCATCAAAAGAGTTTGCATCAGGCAATGTGTTAGGTGCTCCTTCACCAACACCCAGCATGGGCAGTTCCTTGTCACCTCTTCTAGGTCGACGAGTGGAAACATCTAGAACTCCTAGTCCTGGAGGAGATCCTACTGGTACTAAATTGCCACAGTACATGCAGAATTTAAAGCAACAACTTAGAGATGAACTAAAAGCTGTGACAGAAGAACGAAAGGTTATGCTAGAGCAAAGAAGCAGAGGTGATGGAGATCGTTCGCAGACTCCTCAGCCTCCACAAACAACGGCAACTACACTGGAACCTACCAGAACAATATCTACCTCATCGAGTGGAACCACTCCCACTGTTCCAAAACCTTTAGCTAATACTAACACAGCGGCACTCTCAGCTGTTTTAATGAAACAATTACAGGCACAGACACCCCACCAAGCACCATCTGTGTCACAGGTTTTACCACAAGCCCAAACAAGCACCCCCATATCTTACCAAACATATTCTTCAAAGCCTCAGTTGGCATCGCAAACAACACCAATTCAAACTCCTACGATGTCGCACGGCTATAGGATGCCAACACAACCGCAGTATCAAAGTCAACCGCAACTTCTGCAATATCAGAACCAACCACAGTTCGTACAGTATCAAAGTCAACCACAGATAGTACCACATCCCATTCAGCCTCAAACGCCTATGAGAGGTCAATTGTCTTCCCATTATGGCAGCAGCCAAGAGCTGCATCTGTATCAAAGTATGATGGATTCCGGTCGAAGGACACCTCAGCCTTCAGGTGCAAGAACTCCTCTACCTGATGCAGTCCCAAAATATGCCATCACCCAAAGACCATCTGATGATGACATCACCATCATGACTACTGCCACTACGACAGTTGTTTCAGCTTCAGAGCAGTGGCATGATGGTTCTAAGCGTTCTCGTCAACCTCCAACGACAACAATGGCACCCTCGACTTCTTTCATGGGTACCAGTGTTGAATCGTTGCGACGTTTGCAACAAAAAATGACTGCTCAACCTACTTTAAAGAAAGGCCGACGTAGACATAACAGTGAGCTTAATTTGCCACCTTTTGCACAAATGGAACAGGCAATGCACTATCAGACAATGAGACAGCAACAGCCATTAACTCCGCAATACCTTCAATATTATCCTAAACAAGTTCAATCAGTCCAACCTAGTAAGTGAAAAATCCATGTTTTATTTTCTTTTTAAAGCATTTTTTTTGCATTGTAACTGACAATGTGTTTTGAACTTATAAGCATATTTCAAACTTCTAATATAAATAGTGACCATTATAGTCTAGAACAAACTCTTTTAACTTTTGAATGGTTTAGTTGTTTAGATATAAATATAAAAGTGGTATCTGTAGTAAAATTTATAAATACTATCAAACTATAAATAGTTTTATCTATGGTTGTAAAGTCTGTAGATACGATACCACTATTTTTTAAATACCGCTTTACTATTGATACCACTATCTATTGTGGTAGCTATAGTATAGTATTTTAGGGTTACGTAATAAGACTCTTATAGCGCCACTTAGTCGAAACCAAGATTTATTTAATCAAAACTATGACTAAAAAAATAAAAAAAATAATTTTAGCAAATTTTATGAACGAAAATAGTAAAAAGAATATAAGCAATGTAATCTAATATGTTACTTTTAAAAAACATGCAAAATTCATAAATTCTATTCATTACTTTCTTTTTATAAAACTGCCAAAAAAACTTTTACATTTTCTCCCTAACTGTAATTCAAAATTATCTTACACGTAGCGAAGCAAAAGCATTGTGGCATAAATTATCGCGACATTAGTGCACCTCTTTTCTATTTTTCTTTTCAAACTATTGTAAGAAGCGATAATATTTTGTAATAATAGCTTGAAATTAAAAGTCTATGAAATCACGACGTGCTTCTGTTTCTTCATAAATTGTATTATTATTTTATTCATCATGATTAACAGCATTATTTTTCATTTTATAAAATTAATATGATTCTTTTTAGACATCATTCATCCTTCTTCTTACTCTTTTTGTATACAAGATATGTTTTTAATGTTTATCATGAATTTTTTCATCTAATTTTATGAAAATAGTTAATAAAGGAAAATCTTAGTTTTTAGTTCGCAACGGAATATTTGCTTTAAATTGTTGTTTCTAAATTCAGATATAAGTTTCCTTTATGTTAATTAGCTTTATCATTGTCATTTTTAACATTTAATAATACAATGTTGCACTATAATGTATAAAATAATCTTGTATTAAATTTTATAAGAATAATACAAGTAAAAATTGGATAATGAAGCACATGTCACCCTCTCTTAATATCTTAATATCTTTCGCTCTTTTAGAGAAATAATTGAGGTTAAATAAATTTATCAAATTATCAAATTGTTTTATAATTATAAAAGTTTTAACATTCTCTTCAAAAAGTGATGATTTCTGAAAATTTTGTTATTGGTGTTGTTTTTTAATTGATTTTTTTATTCCCAGGACGCAAATTTTCAATATTAACTTGATATAAATATTAAATGTTATGACAAAAAAAATGTCCAAAAATGCTGGCAAAATTAAGAAATGCAGGCATTACTGAAAAAACTGAAATTAGATATCTAATATCATTTGAAATTTTACGCTAACAAGCTTTCTTTGATTTCTTATTAAATTATATGCCAAGTGAAAATAATTTATTAAAAATAAAATAAAATAAAATTTTTCATTTAGGAGAAAAACCATTTTTAATTAAATAGAAAAATAAAACAGGCTACCTTTATAAACCAACTGCTTAATACATCCAGTCATTGATATATTCAAGAGAAATAAAAACTTAAAAATAAATTATTCTAATTTCTTGCGTAAAAAGAAAATTTTTACACGCGATAACTGAAAATTGAAACATTTTTATCCACTCCTAAAGACGGTATCTAGGCTTTTCTGGGTTAACGGAGCATACGCAAGTTTCTCGAGAATTTAACTAAAGAATAATTTCTTCAAATCAACCGTTAATATTCAATGAGAGGATAATTAGGATAAGCAGGATTGAATAAATTTCTTGTCCCCCAGTTATTAACAATTCTCCAACCAAATGTATGTTTGTTTCTTTTTTGCTCCTGCTTTAAAAATTTCATTATTATTTTTTTTATTCACAAATATTTACTTATGAATCGAATTTTAAGTTTCCTAATTGTCATGCTAAATATAATTTTTACTTTTCTGGCTCAATTGCTTTAAAATTAAATATTTAATTAGCATAAAGTGATATTTTATCTAAGTTCATGACTAAATTAGTAAAGTTCAATATTAAATTACAAGACATTGATATTCGATTACTAGATATTTCTATGTTAATAAATTGTTTGAAACTATTAAAATGTATTATCCGTAATAAATCATTTCTCACTCATAATTTATGTTTTATTTCTCCCTCTTTAAAATCTTACTTTTCAGTTTTCTTTCCCTCCCTTTTTTTAAAAAACTTCATAAACAATATTTAATCAAGCGCCTTAGTTGTGTCGAATGAAACTTTTACTTATGTGTTCCATTGGCTTTAAAATTAAAAATATTTCTTACATAAAGTTTTCTTTTGTCACAGTTCAATACTAAATTACGAGACACTGATAAGCAATTAGTGGATAAATTAATTAAAATTTATTTATTTACAATACATTTCCCCCTCATAATTTTTGTTTTATTGCTCCTTTCTTAGAATCTTTTTTTTTTTCATTTTTTTTAATCTTTTAAAAGAGCAAAATATTTAGTTAGAGATCGCATTTTAAAGGCTATATGTGTTAAGCGATTTTACTAGCTCGTTTGAATAGCTTTAAACTAAAACTTTAATTAGCATAAGGTGCGTTTTAATCAGTACTAAAAATAAAATGTCTGAAAAAACTCTATTGCAAGCATAAAAATTTAAAAAATTAATTTATTACATGTTATAAAATTATTATAATATTAAAAAAATATTATAAATAAATTTTTTTTATAATAAATAATAAAAAAAAATATAATAAAATTTCTTTATAATAAAATTATTATGAAAATATTATAAAATTAATTATTTATGAAAATTAATTAATGAAATTAAAAAAAACATCCATCTTTTACAAACTAGCTTTTAACTTGCATTGATTTCACGCTGATTCACGTGAGCCAAACGATTCTCTTGTAGGCTATAGATCGATGGATTTCCCCTCCATTGACAGCCACGCCCGAGCGACTGAACTACTAAGATCGAGTGCTAGTCGATTTGGCGGGAGTTTGGGAAGTGGATTCGGATCTACGGAAGCTCTCTACCAGGGACGAAGGGTTATGAACAATAAATTACAGGAATATTTTGTTCCAGACAATAGAATGATGGAACAGCAACAGAGGGTGGTTGGTCCGGACGCTTATTTCCAAACACTAAATAATGAAATCAACAGGTGAGTCAATGCTGCAAGGACTTCTTTAAATTGTGATAAAATTTTGCTTCATTTCAGTATTAACGATGTCTTTTTTTTTTACTTACAGTGATATCTTGAGGAAGAGTGTTAAATTAAATACTAATAAATCTCAGGAATAAAATAGGTTAAAATTAATTATTACTTATAGATAATTTGATACACAGTATCAATTTCGAATAATGAGTAAGTGTGACAACATTTCCCAGATTGCGACTATATTTTGGGAGTTTAGAAATCCGTCAAAACAAGGTATTTTTATTCAGACAAAGTACGTTTTTGTGTCTGATTTCGCAACTTAAATTATCTTCTGTGCTTATAATTAGCATATTTAAGGTCACCCCCTTGAGCGATTAAGATTGAGTTCTAGAACGTGAAGATCAGATCATTAGATCAAAAGTTATTCAGGGTGATCCTTTTTACGTGCACTGTATACTTATAATATACATATTATGGAGGGTATCAACTAGTTTCATACCAATTGCTCATTTGCTCAAAAGGTGAGTCAATGCTGTAAGGACTTCTTGAAATGGTGATAAAATTTTGCTTCATTTCTGTATTAGCGATGTATTTTTTTATTTGCAGTGATATCATGAGTAAGAGTGTTAAATTAAATACTAATAGAGCTGAGGAATAGGATAGGTTAAAATTAATTATTAATTATGGATAATAAGATACACAGTATTAATTTTGAATAATGAGTAAGTGCGTCGAATACGAGTGGAATTCATAAATAGACCATTTATGAATTATGAATTCTTACCTGTAAGAAATAAATTATGATAGGTAATTATTAATGGATGGTTGGATGCATAATATATTTTTCTAGTCATGAGTAAGTATAAGTACAAGTAAAATTCATTAAAGGGGCATGCGGGGATAAATAATTAATGATGGGTAATTGTAAAAACAACTTTGTGTTTAATAATAAGTAATTATGTTAAATGCTAGTAGAATTCCGTAGGTTAAGCTGGGATACGTAATTAATAATTGGATATATAGTATTTTATTTTTAGTAATGATTAAGAGTGGTAAATACTACTGGAATTTATAAATAGAGAAGCAAGGATAAGTAATGAATTGGGAATAATTAGATATATAGTATTTTTTAAATTTTTATTCCGGACCTAACACTTTAATTAGCGCTTGGTGGCATAGGCTAAATAAGGCATATTTTCATAGCATTTTATAACATTATTCAGTATAGAAAATGTATATTTAAACTCATAATGAATATAAGTTTTTCAGTGGGCTAATTCTTACTTATTTTAAAAATCCAAATCGGTTGTGGTAGGGAAAGTTATGTATTGATATCAAACGTTTGTCAATTTTATTTGAAATCGAAATATTCTTAGGCCCTTACCAGATCAATGAAATTTTTGAAATTTTATTTTACCTGCTTATCGCCTGGAATAGGAAAAGTTGCATAGTAAATCCTCTTTGTTTGTAAATAGAAATATTATTAGATCATATGATGTTTACCACCTCCACCAGACACTTGAAAATTACATCATTGTGAAATTTTAACCCTCTGAATTTGAGCTTTTAACGAATATTTTTTTACAATTGTAAAAACATTTTTAAATCTTTTTTTAATATTTTCTATAATAACACGGCAGAATTTTTTCGAATTAAAAACTGAAAAATAAAGGAATGAATCACAAGAGAACCGTCACTATGCCATCTGCGTCAAAGGGTCAAGTCAGTTGAGCTCTAAATAACTTCAGAAAAATGCAGTGTACTAGTTGTGTCTGAAATCACAGTTTTAGTTTCCTGCATTTTAGATTATTTGAAAACAAGTCAGTTATCGACCGTGTATCTACTTTTCATCAGATTTGATAAAACTACAGTCAATACTGTTGTTAAACACCACAGATTGAATTGGATTCAAGAAAACCTTTTCATTGCTTCAATAATGCCAGTTATGTGCCAATGAGCTCTCTATAGCTCGATCCTCTTATAATAACGCGACAGAATAGTTTAAGATTAAAACTAAAGTAAAAGGTTAAAGAGTAATTCTTTCTACGTTAAAGAGTAAAAACAATTCTTTGACTAGCTTGCCAAAATTATGGCACAATTACCCAGAAGAGATCACAAGGAATTATCTGTTATCAAATTCAGCCCTTGGTATCAGTTTTCGGGACGGCAAGATTGTGCGCTTAAAGCCATCGCAACGTTTTTCTCATCAGGCAGATGAAGATGCTTCAGTGACTAACCTAATGGCTCTTTAACGGCTCGTGTATATCTGGTAGATTTTTTATTCCCAATTACGTCATCCATTTTAGATTTTTTCTCAATCTCCGCACTGCGTATATGTTTAGTCAATGGATGTTCCGTAAGGAAACAAGTCTGCCAATTAATCAATTTTGTGTTAGAATTTTTCTTAAAAGTGGAATAATAAAATTGCAGACACCTTCGCTAGTTTACAATGGGTCTTCAGGGCTCTAATAAAGCCTAATAACCTGACACACACTGATGAAAAGTATGGTCAAAACAACCAGAATATGGCAAAAATTACCGTGTTTCTGCAATACCTCCTCGATGATAAAAGGTCTCAGCAAGGGTTACCATCAGCAAGAAAGTTAATCCTTTAATAGTCCAAACGTAATGACATCTTTCGTATTTTCCACCACTGCGCAGCTAAGTAGTCCGAACGTAGTGACACCCTTCTTATTTTTTCTCTACTGCCCAGTTTATGATCGTTACGTCGGACTACTAAATTAATCCGTGCTGAGACTTTCTCTTTTCTCGGAGGTGTTGATTTTTGGCTCTATGGAAACACCAAAAAGCTCTGTAATTTTTTGCAAAGCGCTTTAGTAATGATTTTGGTCGAAGAAACAAAAATATAGTTTCTGGTCATGTGATAAAATTTGGAATTTTATCATGACACCTTTAGACACCTATCGTAAAAGCTAATTAGTTGGTTACATTTACTTTTCAGTTTTGCATTTTTCACTAAATGCGTGGTAACAAGAGCTATAATTGTTAAAACCAGAATTTCTGGTAAACCTATATCATATGAAAGGGAAAAAATTCAAATAAATGATTTAAATGCCTTATATTTCAGTTGTATTAACATAAATTATGCATTTTTTTCCAGAAATGTAATTACCAAACAGCATGGTTATATTACAGGAATTTCTTTCTCCGTGCACAGCAGTAACTTATTGAAAAGTTTTAAGAAGAATAATTTAAGACAATTCTTCAAAATTTTGAAAGTTATTAAATATTACCGCACTGATTTAATTTCATAAATGTTTGTTTTGAACTGACTGAACACCTTAATTTTCTGCATTTATTATCGTTACAGGTTGCGACGTTCATCTGAAAATATCCATAGAGACGCCATATACGATAAGCCATCATATGGTGCTTCAATGGGTCCCCCTCAAACACCAGTTCCTGAGATCAGAACCAGCCCACAAACCACTGACCGGAGAAAAAGGTCAAAATTCATTAAATTTTTTATTTATTTTAATCATCATTGATTAAGCTTAAATTTCTCTGCAGAAATTTTGCTCTCTATTACATTTAATAATCGACTGTTTACTTATTACAGTACAATGTAATATGTAATTCAATATTACAATAAATTGCTACACTGTAAGAAATTCCGTATCAAATTACGGTATAAAGTACCCGGTGCATCATCTGTGATATCCATTCTACTGTGAAATATTATACCGTAAGTTTCAAAATAATATTTATTTAGTTGGAAGGATTCAGTGGTTTTACGGTAATTATTAATGTAAAAATTACTGTATATCAGAATTTTTTTGTTCCGTAACTGAACAGGTTACGGAACAAAAGATTTGATGTGCCGTATAAAAATGAATTTATATAATATATTATAAAATGGATAAGCACAGGCAAAAAAGGACTTAACGGTAGAAATTTTCGGCTCCATAATGTGTACATTTTGCTATATTTTGATCCGGAATTTCTTACAATGTAGTGATAATTAATAAAAAGGTATGTGTCGCATTTTACGAGTTCTAATAACTAAGAAATATACTACTATTGTTATATATAAGGTTTATAATATTATATATAAGGTTTATAGTATTATATATAAGGTTTGTAATATTATATATAAGGTTTTTTATATGTTGCAATTGAAAATCTTTTGTTACTTATACATGTATTTCTGTTACTTTCATTACTTGGAAACATGAACTAGAATTGTATATTTTTCTTCCAATTTCTTGTTTTTTAAACCCATCATTTTTACTTAATTGTCTTTTCACCTAAATAATAATGTATGCGCTTGGATATAAATTCCAGTTAGAGAATCTTAAAAATATCTTCGGAAGAAACAAATTAATTTGGCAATTAAGCTCCCGAAACTATTCATATTGTTCTTCTTATATATTTTTTCAAGTGGGAAAATAATTTTTTAGTGAAAAAAAAAGTTTGATAGGTAACAAAAATTCTGAAGTGAAATTAAGTAAACTTATAAAGCTCATTTTTGAGACGAAAATTCCAGAAACTGCTCTGGCAGAAATATTCGTTTTTCTTCAAAATTTAATTTTTACTTTTTTCTTTAAAATAATAATGTATGACTATCATAATGTATAACTATAACAAATAAATGATGAAACATTTTGAGCGAAAATATTAATCAAACACTGATCACAATAGGGTTGAGTTCGTAAATATTTACTTTTTCTTTTCATTGAAAATTGAACTAACAGGAGTAGAATTTTTTTTTCAAATTTCCGAGCAAATTTTGAACAAAATTTTAAAGTTTGAAAAATAGCTCTAAATATCAATCCTCGCGTGCAATATTAATCAAATATATTAAATGAGCATATATTTGTTTCATATGTTTAGGAAAGAGAAAAAATCTCGAAAGCCTAGATCTTGGCATCCTTCACCTTATGTCTCTGAAGATGAAGATGACCAAATGACAAGAGAAGAGAAAAAAGCAAAAATCAAAGCAGAGATAGCTCGCCGGCGACAACAGATAGAAGAAAACATGAGGCTGCATGACGAGCTTTGCAAACTTGCAGAGAGGCGTGACAGATTAGAAGCAGGTACAAAATTCTGAAAAAAGTTTTTGGCACCGATTTTAACTACTGTATTTATAAACATATTATTGTTTCTTATTTTTGATATGATAAAATACATACATTATTATCATATCATACATACATTGTCATGTACTGAGAAGAAAGTATGTTAAAAACTTTCAAAATATGGTAAATTTTACGGTATTTCTAGCCGTATAGGAACACCAAAAAGCTCGATCATTTTTACCAAAGCTCTTTGGTAAGGATATTGGTAAAATTAACAATAAAATATTATTTTATAATATGGGATAAAATTTGCTTAATGTGGTAAAATGTTATCATTTTAGCATGATATCTCAGAGCATGTTATTCGTTTAAATTTACCATTTTGTATTTTTTAAATGTAAATTTAGCATTTTTGCTTTTTTTACTGAATGTGTGGTAATATGAGCTAGAATTTAGAAAGTTTGAAATATGAGCAGAAAAATTACCAAATGACTGTCTTAAATAACGCATATTTCGGTTTTATTAACCAGAATTGTTTTTGACAGAAATGTAATTTCCATGCAGTGTGGTAATTTTGCTAGAATTTTATATTTCGTATCTCAGTGTACTTAATACAATAATTTGAAATTAATAATATGGATTGTGTAAGTATGGATTAAAGATATGTGATCAATAATTCTTTTATCTGCTAAAAATAGTATTAGAAATTTTCATTGTTAGAAAATTTGAAGCGTGATAAGTTGTGAACTGCGTGTTGACTTGCTGTAAGCTTCTCATTAAGTCGATTTAATAAATTTGATGCTATTATTCAACTTAAAAGGAAACATGGTTCAATTTTACGCATTCAATTTAGAAAATATGGATGATTATTCTTAAACCATATGTTGGTTTAAGGTTAATTACACAAAGGCTAATTTAGCGTTGCACTGATTTATCTGAGGGTATACTAGTTAATTTGCTGAAAACTGACATCGTGAAAACGAATTTGAAATAGAAGTAAACATTGTTCCTTTTAATATGAAAAATGTTTTAAAGTATTCTTGAGTTTAGTTAAGAAAACATAATCTTCAATCTAAATCCTAATACTTTCAAAAAAATTTACAATCTCATTTCATTAAAAATTGAGCTTACTCATTTGTTTTTATAAAGTTCTTTTAGACAATGGTCTTTAACATTTTGAAATGTATTTAAGAGGGCCCTATATACCACGGGAGAAACTTTTTATTGCAAATTCTCTCACACCTAAACAAAGTAAGTTCAGGCAAACCTAGAGTAAGCCACTAAGTATCAAATACAAAAAAGTTTTAACACAAAAGTATTAAACACAATTTCCAAAAAACAAACATGAAAACAAATTAGATGATAACTTGGGATTACAAAATGAGAAAGTACTCTTCCAATCATTTGTCTGCAGTTTGATATTTTGAAATTTCTTCTTCAACAATCGAATGGCTAATTCTAGGTTTGTATGAGCTTCCTTTTTCTGTACATTAAATCTCAAAATAATTATGGTGGTGAAACAGAATTTAAGAGGAAAAATTGGTCCTTTATAAAGCGTCCTCTTAATGTAGCTAATAGTTTATTGGGCCAAATCAAAATAGTTTTTCTGTGTTAAAATTATTGTTTTGATACCTATGACAATGTGAAACCTTTCTGAAATTTAAAGTTCAAACACCTAAGGTAAAAAAATCATATACTGGCAGCAAATAACACAATCTTTATATATATATTTCGTCTGTTCGTGTGTATGTCACTGAACTCCTCCTAAACGGCTGGACTGATTTAAATGAAATTTTCTGTGTACCTTCAGAAGGATTCGAGAATGGTTTAGATTCACAATTAGATTCACAATGTTTTTTTAATGAATTTTTTACTGAGTGGGAAAAAATTCTACTTCTTATGCGACTTCCAACAAGAAAGCTTTAAATGTTTAACGCTGCATTTTTATTGGCCGGGAAATCACGTGGTAGGATCCAGTTTTCCCTCATTCATTTCCATATTGTTTTGGTTCTCACTAGCATAAAAATAATAAAAGTCATAAAACTTTTGTTTTTCTATAAATATTTTTTTAGTTTGTTTTGATAGATATATAATTTAATAGGGAGCAGGAAAAGGAGTCGCTGAATAGAATTTGTAATTTCGTGTTATTATTGTGTTTGTAGAATTTTGAAGTGTGCATTTTAAAAATGTAAAAAACTACACATTTTGTAGATTCAGTGCGGAATTGAAGTGAGTATTTTTTATAATTTCAGATTGAATTTATACGTGCGTTGGATAGTCCGCGTCATATGCAAGAATATATTCAAGACGCCATGACTTACGTACGCGCATACGGCCGACCAGATCTTTTTATCACATTTACGTGTAATCCAAACTGGGATGAAATTAAAAATTTGCTGTTATCAGGTCAAACATCGATGCATCGCCATGATATCATTGCACGTGTGTTCAAACAAAAATTGAAATCCCTGATGAAATTGATTACACATCACTCGGTATTTGGTGAAACTCAATGTTGGCTTTATTCTGTTGAATGGCAAAAACGAGGTTTACCTCATACGCATATTTTGATTTGGTTGGTGGACAAAGTACGCCCAGAAGAAATTGACAAAATTATTTCAGCGGAAATTCCAAATCCGAATGTTGATCAAGAATTGTTTGACATTGTGACTACTAATATGATCCATGGTCCATGTGGTTCTCTCAACATGATGTCACCATGTATGGATAATGGAAAATGTACGAAACGTTTTCCTAAACCATGTCAAACTGACACTATCACCAATATCGATGGTTATCCATCTTACCGTCGTAGAGATGTAGACAATGGCGGTCAATCATATGAATTGCGTCTATCAAACGGTGTAAGAGTTGACATCGATAATCGCTGGGTGGTTCCATACTCACCATTGCTGTGCAAAACCTATAAAGCACACATAAACGTTGAGTTATGCAGTTCGGTGAAGTCTATCAAGTACATTTGTAAGTACGTTCATAAGGGCAGTGATAAAGCTATATTTGCTGTTCAAAATGTAAATAAGAATGACGAAATAACACATTATCAAATGGGACGATACATAAGTAGTAATGAAGCTATTTGGCGAATTTTTACATTTCCTATACATGAAAGGGATCCTGCTGTTGTACATTTGGCTGTGCATCTTGAAAATGGACAGCGTGTTTATTTCACAGAACAGAATGCACTACAACAAGCTTTAACAGC